ATTTTACAGTTTCCTATATGGCTCTAAATATATTTCTATTGGGATAAAATGAAAGGCCTAGTGACTTATCAAATATATTTTTAAAATAAATGCTTTGAAAACAATTTTTTGAAGGCTAGAGAGATGATCGGCATTTAAGAGCACATCCTGCTCTTGAAAAAGGCCAGAGGTCAGTTCCAGCACCCAAACCAGGCCACTCACGAGCACCTTTAACTCCAGCTCCAAGAAATGTGACATTCTCTTCTTGCCTCTGAGGACAACAGTCACATGCATACACCCACACACAGATACATATACATACACACAATGAGAGGGAGAAATGGGAAGTATGTAAACATAGTCCTCTTGTGTATGAACTTCTGAAAAAATTAAACATTCAAAAATTTTTAAAGTTTTTAGTCAGGTGTGGTGGCAAACACTTTTAATTCCAGCATTTGGGAGGCAAAGGCAGGTGGATCTCCATGAGTCTGAAGCCAGCCTGCTCTATATAGCAAGTTCCAGGCCAGCCAGGGCTACAGAGTGAGACTCAGTCTAAAAGAACAAAAATAATAACCAAATTAAAACAAAAAATTTGAATAATATTTGATATTAGCTTATTTTACAAAATAATTCAAAGTTACATTTATTTCTACCTGAATGTAAAGGTACCTTTTCTTTTTGATGTTTGCAGGATCCTTGGTCTAAAAGTTCTGATAGTCCTGTGAATTATAAAATAAAACCATCATGATTATTACAAGAAAACTTTGAAACAAAATCAATTGTGATTTCATTATAAACACTTGAGTCTCTGTACTAATGAGATGTCTGTATACTATGTAACATCCCATCATTGCATTGCCTTCCTCTAAATATTAATATGAGATAAGATAAAAAACAAAGATGAAAAAGTTCTTGCAATGCTGGGGATTGAACCCAAGACCTCACGCACTCTAGGCAAGCACTGTGGAGTACTACCACTAAACTGCAGATCCCCAGAGATATTTTCTCTAAAGTGCTTTGGAAAGCTGGTGGTGTCTATCAGTGCGTAGAGTGTTTTAGCCAGCATGTTAGATGCTCTGGGTTCGAGCCCCAGCCAGCACTGTGAAAACTAGATACGGTGCTACATGCCTGGAATTCCACTACTTAGGACGTGGAGGCCAGAGGGTCAGAAATTTAAGGTTATCCCCTGCTACAAATTGAATTTGAGGGTAGCATAGCCTGAAGTACATGAGCTCGTGTTTGAAGCAAATCAATAAAGTGCTATAGATGCTTATGAACAAATTCAAACTTGGTCAGAGAAAGATTATGGTCAAACCAGGGTTAATGAATTGCCGAATTCACCACTTGGTCACTTGATTTTTTTTCTTTTCAGTATATAAAATGATAAACTGAAACAAATGATATTTTAATCTCACTAAAGCAAAATAACTTCATTTTCATAGAGTTTGGAAGTCTACTTTCTTTGAAGCTACTGGAATGCTTCCTTGGGGGCCAGATTAGTTCAGTGATGAAGTACTTGCCCTGCATACATGAGACCCTGAGTTTTATTCCCAGCATTGCAAAAGGAATTTATTTTACAAGCAATTTAGTATTTTCAGACAACATAAACTTAAATGGAAAATTGTCACTTAACCTGATAGGGTAAGCTTACAATCCTAGTTATTCAGGAGCCAAGCCAGGAGGATGTCAAATTCAAGGCCAGTCTGACATACACAGTGAGTTGAAGGCTACCCTGGGCAATTTATCAACATCCTGTCTCAAAAAGTAAAATGAAGGCCAAGGATATAGTTTACTGGTAGATTGTTGGACTAGTATGCACAAGACCCTGAGTTCCATCTCTAGGGATGGAAGGAAGGAAAGAAGGAAGGAAGGAAGGAAGGAAGGAAGGAAGGAAGGAAGGAAGGAAGGAAGGAAGGAAGGAAGGGAATAAGAAATGGAGGGAGGGAGGGAGGAACGAGGGAAGAAAGGAAGGAAGGAAGGAAAGAAGGGAAGAAGAAATGGAGGGAGGGAGGGAAGAAAGGAAGGAAGGAAGAAGAAAGAAATTGAAAAAGAGAGAGATGTGAAAAAGAAAGTGGTCACATATGAGTTAGCCATGGTAGTTCACACCTGTAATCTCAGGACTTGGGAGGCTGAGGCAGAAGGATCATCACAAGTTCAAGTCCAACCTGAGCTACAGAGAAAGACCTTGTCTGAACAAACAAAACAAACAGAACCGATGAAAAGCTGAAACTATCGCATGGACTTGTGAATAGGGCTTGAAGGCAAACCACTGCAGTTCACACACATTTGTGAGGATGGAAAGAAAACCACTGTAAAAAACAAATTGGAATAGAGATTTTAAAATCACTGCTTTTCTCAGTGGCTTCCTAGGGCATGCAGGGCTAATGGGAGAAGGCTGAGTACAAAACATCAAGAGGGAATTAGACTGAGAGCTTCTCTCGATCTTTACTATGGCTGTAGTTATAGAAATGTATGTGATCCCAAAACTGATTCAACTATACATTAAAAAGCTGCTGAATTTAGTTGGGAGCAGATAACATGTTTAAGAAAGAAAAAAGAAGGGTAAAGTATTTCACAGGTCATTTTACATTTGTGTTCGAAACAGTCTCACTCTGTAACCCAAGCTGGCCTCACACTTGAGATCCTCCTGCTTCAGCCTTGTGAGTGCTGAGATTACATGCAGGCATCACCATGCTTGACAGGAAAAGAATCACACAGAATTGGGTATATACAGTCAAATATATTCCCCTACAGACTTGAGTGGGGAACGATTAATATCCATCACCGGTTCAAGAGATACAGACTTTTAAGCACTCCTTTCTTACCTTCCTAGGTTTCTTGGTGAGAGAAGCCATTGGGGAGACTGGAATCAGTTGGATGTTCCTTATAGTTAGTTGCTTCACAGTGGTGCTGCCATTCTGGGTAAACAGAAAGAAGTGTACCATGCAGCACCAGCTGCATACTATTCAAGCCCTTGGCAGAAACAGCTGTTGGTGAGCAGGGGTGTCCTTAGGACAGGATCACAGTGCAACAGTGAGGATCTCTTACCACAAAGCAAGCGGGGAACCCAAGAATCATGTTGATAAAGCAATGGCACCCTTGATCTTTTGGAGGAGAGAACTACATGGTCATTGAGGTGCTTACCCAGTACCCGAGAAAGGCATTGTGAACACTCAATATTGAGCTATTATACAATATACTCAGGCCCTAAAATTAATATTTTCCTTTTGGTTGGACCTATTGCTGTGCTATTGAAAACTATAAACTAATATACATATTTATGCCTGATATTTCATTTGTATTGTAATTCTCACTAAATCATTTTTGGTCCTTTCTTGCACAGTATTACTCCCATAACTCAGGATTTTAAAATGCATTCTTTTCCAAAACTGGAGTCAAGTTATACTTGTATAGTATGTATTCTCTTCCACCTCCCAACATCCAGGTTCTCTTATTCACTCATGCCAACACCTAAAGTGATGAAATGAATCTGCTCAGTTAAGGAACTCCAACAGCATCTACAACCTAAATCCCTATGAAGCCTGAAAAGGGCCAAGACTCCAGAGCTCAGTACTCGCCTAGCCAGTGACTTCAAAAGCTACTGTCAAATGAGGGCCCGGTGCCCATCTGAGGCATCTTTCCAAGGAAAAGATGTCTTCCTCCAAGAACCCATTTCCTCATCTACTGACTTCTCAGTCTGGAGGTTGACATTAGCCAGAGTCTCTCTTGTTTTGTCATGGATGCTCAGAAAGAAGAGTAAAAGCCATGGAACAAGCACAGCTAAGTAACTACAATGTTTACAGACATTTAAAAACATAAAGTAGGGATATACCTATAGCCTAAATGTTGAAATTAAAGGCTGTATGTCAACCTCTCTGTGGAAATATTATAAATTATTGAATTAAAGGCCATATTAGCTCAGTAAATCTGCCCCTAACAATCTAACCTACAGTTGCTAAATTATATAGATGGGAAGAAAATTGTTTTGTCATCTAAATGTTTCAGCACAAATGAACTTGTGTGTGTGTGTGTGTGTGTGTGTGTGTGTGTGTGTGTGTGTGTGTGTGTGTATGCATGCAAGTGCATGCCAGTGCATGTACCCGCATGCACACATGGAGCCAAAGGTCAGAGGTCAAAGTCAGATGTTTTCTTCAATCACTTTCCACATTATTTCTCTCGTAAATCTGGAGTTCACGAATTCGTTTAGACTGGCTGACCAGTAAGCTCGAAGGAACTTTGTCTTTGTTCCCAGCCCCTGCCAGTGCTGATGTTACAGGCACACACTACCACGCCTGGGTTTTTCACATGGGCACTGGGACTCAAACTCTGGTTCCCACGCTTGTGTGACAAGCACTTCACTAATTAAGCCATGTCCTTAGTCCTCAACCTTTTGTTAAAGACCAGGGTCTCATGTAGCCAGGCTGGCTTCAAACTTGCAGTCAAGGATGGCTTTGAACTTCTGGTCCTCCCGCCTCTACCTACGCAGTGCTGGCAACAACTGAACTTTTCTTGGGTTAATCAGGAAAGAGAGCAAGTTGGTCCATTGGTCCACAACAGAATCAACCTCAATCAGTATCTCTCTGTCTCTTTCTATCTCTGTCTCTCTGTCTCTGTTTCTTCCTCTGTGTGTCTTTCAATGTCTCTTTCCTCTCTGTGTCTCTGTTTCTCTGTCTTTCTCTGTTTCTCTGTCTCTCTCCTGTGTCTGTCTGTCTCTGTGTTTCTGTCTCCCGCCTCCACCCCCACTATATTGTCCAGGCTGGCCTCATATTTCTAGGTTGGAAGAATCCTCCTGTCTCCACTTTTCCAGTATTATATCTATAGAGAGACTTCACAACTCCCAGCTACATCTACAGTTTGGGGTCAGAAAACTGTTATTTCAGCTCCTCTTTCACATAATGACATTTATTCTTATGGGTAAAACTGTAAAATGTTTCTTTGTAAGGGTCTTTTTGTAATGGTTGTGTGTATGTGTGAGCCTGAGTCAGTCTGTGAGCTCACATGTGTGGAGGAACCCACAGAGGTCACAAGAGGGTGGCAGGTCGACTGGAACTGGAGTGATGGGAGGTTGTGAGCTGCAACATGGATGCTGTCAACACAACACCATATTAGTGAAAACAGAAATTTTCTACAAAATTAAAATGTGAATGTTGTACCAGACTTAGAGTTTCTTCCCAAGTCTGACTTACCTGCATAGCAGTATGCATTTTCCTGCAAAAGAAAAGAAATTATTAGTGCTGTAGCCAGCCCATCTGAAGGAAAAGATGTAACTGAATATACAAATGATCAAAACAGTAACAAAGTATGGCACTCACCGTTCATGCATTGCTTCTCTGCTTGCTAAATCCATCCCTTCTTCCTGGAAGGTAAGGAAATAAGAATAAACTGAGGGCCCAACTCCTACTGGTCTACTAAATTTCATTTAGGTTGGGAGTTTCAAATTTCACTAAGCTGTACTTCATTGTTATCCACTAGGCTATGGAAGAGCTACATTGTTTCATTACAAGCAAATCTCGAGCAAGTGGCTGGCTCTCTACTTTGTTATCCTACAAATTACCACAGCCGTGGTCTATTACTTCTGCATTGCAACATATCAAATACACCAAAATGGACTGTATGAGAAACTCTGTGCCTTCCAGCAGTCAAGGGAGAGAACACCAAGATTCACAAGTCCATGCTTTTCTCTACTAGTAGTACTATGATGGTCTTAGTCTATATCATATTAAATGCCTATCAGTATGGTTTTTTAAGCAAATGATAGGATTTAAAGATGATTTAGACCAAACCACTGAAGTTCAAAATATGTATTACAGGGCTGGTGGGTGGCTTAGTAGGGGAAGGTGCTTGCCATCAAGCATGATGACCTGGTTCTATTCTATTCTATTCCACATGATGGAAAGGGGAAAACCAGTGTAGTTAGTTTGTTAGTTCCACCCAGCTCCCAAATAAATACACATGGAGGCTTATTCTTACTTATAAATGCCCAGCCTTAGCCTGGCTTGTTTCTAGCCAGCTTTTCTAAACTTAAATTATCCCATCTACCTTTTGCCCCTGGCCTTTTATCTTTCTCTATTTCTGTATGTCTTTCTTTAATTCTTACTCTGTGGCTCGCTGTGTAGCTGGGTGGCTGGCCCCTGACGTTCTCCTCCTTTTTTTTGCTCCCCGATCTCCTCCTCCCAGATTTTTCCTCCTATTCATTCTCTCTGCCTGCCAGCCCTCCTATCCTTTCTCCTGCCTTTCTATTGATCATTCAGCTCTTTATTAGACCAATCAGGTGTTTTAGACAGGCACAGTAACACAGCTTCACAGAGTTAAACAAATGCAACATAAAAGAATGCAACACATCTTTGCATCATTAAACAAATGTTCCACAGCATAAACAAGTGTAACACATCCCAAACTAATATTCCACAACAAATCAGCTCCCCAAAGTTGTTCTCTGACCTCCACACTTGCACCCTTGAATGATTTCATCACATGAGCACACAATAAATAAATAAATTAATTAATTAAATAAATAAAATTTTAAAACATGCATTACCTAAGTAAGGAAATTCATTGCTTTTATAAACTCGTAAGAGAGGCACTTAGAATATTTATCAAAGAAATAACAAGTATTAGTGAAAATATGGAGAAACTGTAATCTTGGGATATTGCTGGTGGTAATAAAAGTGATACAGATTCTGTAGGAAAGTCCCCAAAGAGATGAAAATAAGGACTCAGATACTTTTACACCAACATTCCTAACAGCACCATTCACAAGAGGTAAACAACCAAGTGTCTTCCAGGAGATGAGGGGCAAAATGTGCTGTGTCCACACAAAAGAATATTATTCAGCTATATATAAAAATGAAGGTATGAGCCAGGCGGTGGTGGCACACGCCTTTAATCCCAGCACTCGGGAGGCAGAGGCAGGCGGATCTCTGTGAGTTCGAGGCCAGCCTGGTCTCCAAAGCGAGTTCCAGGAAAGGCGCAAAGCTACACAGAGAAACCCTGTCTCGAAAAACCAAAAAAAAAAAAAAAAAAAAAAAAAATTAAGGCATGAGTTCAGTATGTAGTGCAGTGGTAGAGTGTTTGCTTATCATGTACAAGGGCCTGGGTTCAACTACCAGTAGTGCAAAACAATTAAACAAATAAAGTTCTGATACATACTGCAGCATGGATGAATCCTGAAAGCATTATGCTAGGTGGAAAAGGCCAGGACAAATACTACATGATTTAATTTATATGCAGTACCTAGAATAGTCAAAATTCGTAAAGCCAGAAAATAGAATGGAGCTTCCAGGATGGGGCTGGGGTGGTTGTGAGACTTGAAGGTTATTGTTTAAATGGATGCATAGTTTCTTTTGGGCATGACAAAAAAGTCCTAGAAATAGAACCTACTATCTAACATTGTGAATATACTTATTACCATTAGCTGTACTCTTAAAAATGGTTGAAATGGGGCAAGGAATACAGCTCAGTGGCAGAGTGCTTGCCCAGCACGTGTGAAACCCTATAGTGCCAGCTCCTCGGGGGAAGTGGAGACAGGTAGATCACCCAAGGTGGGGAGTTCAAGACCAGCCTAGGCAGTACAGTGATGTCCGGTTTCAAGACAAACAAATAAAATCCTACAAACCTCTGATTCTTGCCTGCTTTGGGGACTTTTTCCATTTTACTGGGTCGCCTCATCCAGCCTTGCTATGTGGGTTTGTGCCTAGTCTTATTGTAACTTGCATGCCGTGTTCGGTTGATATCCCTAGCAGACCTGCTCTTCTCTGAAGGAAAACAGAGCAGGAGTGAATCTGGGGGAGAAGGGAGTTGGGGGAGAGGAACTGGGAAGAGCAGAGGGAGGGGAAACTGTAATGTAATATATGAGAGGAGAATAAATAAAAAACAAAAAATAATCCTACAAAGAAATCTTGGACAGAAGTTAACACTAGTAATGTAAAGTTGAAGCAAATATTGTGGAAATTATGGACTATTATAAGTAGGAATTCATATTTACTATCAGTACTGAGCTTTTATTAATAACACTTAAGAATTTCTGAAAATACCATTTCCTTTTTATCTCATTCTTTAGTATTTCTCTGTTTATGGGGAGGGGGGACATATTGAGACAAAGTCTCCTGTAGGTCAGGCTGTCCTTGAACTCCTGATCTTCTTGCCTTCAACTTCTGAGCATTGGGATTCCAGACATGCACCACCGTGGCCACTGTATCTTTGTATTTCTATTTTGGTTATAGTCAATGATTCATACAGTCTGCTAGCACAGTGACGTATATTCAAAATGTATAAATAAACATGGTTTTATATGTACTTTGTAGGCACATATACTCACAGTTTTTGTTGATGTTCTGTGTGATTAAAAGAGTTGAAAGTTTCAGGTATATAGCTCTATGGTAGAGTGTATGTTTAACATTCACAAAACCCTGAGTTCAAACCCAAACAGCAAATAAATACATAAATTTAAAGATTATAGTCTATAATGTGGACACTAAATGTCTCATGTAGCTCAAGGTAGCCCTGAACTCATTATGTAGCTGACGATGACCTTGAACTCTTTATCTATCTTCTTCCATCTTACAAGCCCTAAAATTCCTGGCATGTGATACCACACCTGGCAGTTCATCCATTTTGTTTTAGGAAAACATTCCTTGAATTAAAAATTTAACTGCACATGATGTTTTTAGAATTATAGAAACAGCAGTTCCAATAATAATATAGGGGCTGGTGAGATGGTTCATTGGGCAAAGATGCTTGCCTCCAAGCCTGATGATGACCTTTTTGATTGCCAGAACCTACATAGTGGAAGGAAAGAACCAGGTTCCACATATTGTCTTCTGACAGCCACACACATGTCATGGCACATTCATATACACACTCACAAATAAATAAATAAATTCAATAAAAAATAATTCAATTTAAAATGAGCAGCTGTTAATTTTTAAAATTCTCTTACTTGTTTGATTTGGAAAATCCGGTTGGCAGATGTACGAGTGCGGGAAGGCAGAAACTGAAAATTAAAACATAAGAGTCAAACTTGCTTTAATATTTCTGATTAATAATTTAAAATATGAAGTTAATGTTATATTGTCTAAAATACTTATTGAGTGCCTATTGTACAGTAGCAATGGCATTTGTTAACTTCAAGGCTTAAAACATTAAAATTGGATCTTGACTAAAGCGTTGTGTTATTCGGAAGTCTATATATGTCAAAATTAAATAATTGCTAACGGAAGAAACATGAGACAAAACATCAGTAAAAATGTTTGTTTACCTTGGAAGTTAGTCTGTTTTTGAGAAAGAGTCTCTTGTAGGCCAGCTTGGCCTCAAACTCCTTATCTAGCTGAGCCTCTCCACTTCTGAGTGCTGGAATTTCAGGGTTCACAACCACATCCAGCAACATCGCCAATTTTCCTTCCCTAAGACACTAGAGATCGACGTCATCTCAGTTCTCTTGCTGGTTTTCATCAAGCACTTAAGGTTAGTGAGAGGTGTTACCAGGACAACATGCTCCAGCAGTTATTAAACCATCAGCTAAGCACACACACACACACACACACACACACACACACACACACACACACACACACACACACACAAAGGAAACCTGAACAGAGCGAGTTCATCAAGTATCTTAAAATCCTGCTGGTGAAAAGAAATTTTCATAGTATGGGTTGACTTAAGGCAACACTTTCAAGTAGTTTCCAAAATTTTACTCTTCGTTGCTAAGGTACTTGTTGCCTAGGTCCTTTCTCTTTTTCAGAACTACTTCCTCCTTTTTTGTCTTGTCTCAAAGCTCAGGAAAACCCACGTAAGAGGAGAATGAAGGAATGAGGGGATTCAAGGCTAAGTATGGACTTAAAGCTTAAATCACCCTCAGAATTTATCTATTCTATCTGTAGCCTGGTTGTTTCCTAAAATGCTTGGTGTGAATTTCTCTTTAACTAACTTTCACATTCTGATTTTATTTGTGGTGCTGGGGAATCAAGCCTAAGATCTTGTGTAAGACAGGCATGTGTCCTAACACTAGCCTACATGCTCAGCCTCATTATGTATTAAGAACACACTGAGTGGAGCATTTAAAAAATCTCTAACAAATATCTACTATGTGCCAAAGCACTTTGCTAGGACCTAAGGATCCAGAAGTAAAAAGGCAATCTTCCTGACCTTGAGAAAATCAACCTCTAGTTAGGAAAAAACCCCAAGCAACTGCCAAAGCAGAGTTCTGACTGTGGGAATTCAAAGAAGATTCATGCCTGAGGTCTTACAATAGGCCTCACAGAGTAGATAGGAATTCCGGTTCTTTAGATTTATTTATTTTATTATTGTATGTTTATGAGTGTGTTGCCTGCATGTATATATGTGTCCAACACATGTGAGCCTGGTACACTCAAAGGTCAGAAGAGAGCTTTGGATGTGCTGAGACTGGGGTTACAGATGGCTGTGAGCCTCCATGTGGGTGCTGGGAATTGAAGCCAGGCCTTCTTCAAGAGGAACAAGTACACTTAACCACTGAGCCATCTCTCCAGGCTGAGGTAGGCATTCTTAATGTGTACAGAAGGTATTCCAATGAAGAGGAAGAACAACTCAGGGAGAGAGGAATGTTCCAGGCACAGAGAGGCACAAGGTGTTGAAAACTTGCTGGGAGGAAGCAGCAGGAAATAAATTTGGTGAGAAGTGGCTGAAACTGAATTGCAATTTTGGGAATTTAGACTTTGATCTCAATAGAAAGCAAAGTATAAGTTTCTCCACATTCTTAAATCTTGAAGATCTTTTAAACAAGCAAGTTCCGTCTGCTTTGAAAGGTTAAAAAAAAGTAGCAGCAATATGTGGAAAAATTTCAAGTGAAGGAAGGGGGGATGAGAGTCCCGGGCTAGCCTGGAATACGTAGTAAGACCCTGTTTGAAATGAATCTTGCCCTGACTGTGCTGTTTTATTTTGGAGTGAAATAAAGTCTTACTTAGTACAAATATTTGCTTCAAAGAAAAACATTTAGACAGAGGGCTGGAGAGAAGACTCAGCAGTTATGAGTGTGTACTGTTCTTGCAGAGGACCTGAGTCCAGTTCCCAGCACCCAGGATGGGTGGCTCACAACTGCCTGCAACTCCAAATCCAGAGGATTCAACACTATTTTCTGGACTCCATGGACATTTACACACACACACACACACACACACACACACACACACACACACACACACTTAAAAACTAAAGTAAATATTATAAAACACACACACATATTAAAAATCATTTAGACAGTGGGGTCGAGAGATGGCTCAGCAGTTAAGAGCACTGATTGCTCTTCCACAGGACCTGGGTTCAATTCCCAGCACCCACATGGCAGCTCACAACTGTCTGTAACTCCTGTTCCAGGGGCTCTGACACCCTCACACATATATGCATACAGGCAAAATACCAATGCACATAAAATAAAAATAAAAAACATTTAGACCAAAAAAGGAACAACTAGAAGAGATAAGAAATGAATGTCCAATGAGCAAAAAGTAGAATGGGAACAAAAATCCAAGCCTGAGTGAACATGTGTAGGAGTAGGGGACAGAGAGGAAAGGCTTAAAGAAGCATCTGGAAGACTTTTAAATTGGATACACGTAACTCCAATATGTGATTGGCCGGTTCTTTTAATAGTACCACTGTGGAAAATTAACCAGGAAAGGCAAGAACTCTGGAAGCAAGTCTCCCTCCCTCCAAGTTAAGCGCTGCAGGTGGCACTTGCGAGGAAATTGCCTTGTGTGTTTTTTTCTTGTGTGAAACAAGAGACTGAAGTTGAACTACAACAGGGTTGTAAAGCTCAGTGGTAAGAGGGCTTGCTTAGCATGCAAAAGGCCTTGGGTTCAATCCTCAGGACTGATCCTTTTCTGAGATGTTGATAAAACTTTGTGATTGTCTTCTGTGTAAATTCTCATTGTGCCTTTTTCTCCTAGTCTAGGAGGATGAATTCCTTGGAAGGAAGCAAGAGTAGCGGGGCCAAGAAATGATGTCATGAGGGTGGAGTATGTGCATGTTTCTGGATGTTTAAGGGAAATAGAAGTGAAAGGGACTGGAGTGTGTGCTAGCTAAAACCCATTCCCAAGAAGTATATTCACTTTAGAAATGAAGAAGTCAGTCTGAGATTTTTTTCTTTTTTTCAAAAAAGCACAGCTAGGTATGGAGGCCTATGAATGCCAGCATGCTAGAGTTTGAGGCAGGAGCTTGAGTTTGAGTTCAGCCTATATTACATAGAGATAAGAGAGCTAGATAGGGAACAAACTTAATGTGTATAGATATTAAAAGTTTTAAAAATTAAATTTAAAATGTCCCAGTTTTACTATTTTTAACCCATTCCCCATTGCAGTTGCTTCAGATAAAATGCTTAGATAATCCTGAAGGAAGGGTTGTAGGCCGTGTTTCGAGATCACTCTGCCTGGTTCCAGAAATGACTCAAGGAAGCTTATATTAGTACTTACCAGGAATGAATGTGGGTTGCATAGACAGAGTACAGAACGGTGTCAGGAATGAGACGATACACTTGCTACTAAGGGAGCATAAACTGATTTGGAGCTTGTGGCAGCCAATGTGCAAAGCTAATGTCCTAGCAGATAGATATCATGGGTTGTACAGTTCAAATGTCTGGGCCTACTGTGGTAGCACATTCCTGCAACTCCAGCACTTGGCAGAAGACCTCAAGTTTGAAGACAGCCTGGGCCACACAACTAAATGCTGTCTCAAAAAAAGGCAAAGAAAGAAAGAAAGGAAGGAAGGAAGGAAGGAAGGAAGGAAGGAAGGAAGGAAGGAAGAAAGGAAGGAAGGAAGGAAGAAAAAGAAAGAAAGGAAGGAAGGAAGGAAGGAAGGAAGGAAGGAAGGAAGAAAAAGAAAGAAAGGAAGGAAGGAAGGAAGAAAAAGAAAGAAAGAAAGGAAGGAAGGAAGGAAGGAAGGAAGAAAAAGAAAGAAAGAAAGGAAGGAAGGAAGGAAGGAAGGAAGGAAGGAAGAGGAAATGGGTAGGTTGATTAGGAAAACAACACACTGTTTGTCATTTCACTAAAGGTTTGTTATTCTCTACAAAAGGGCATGTCGCTCAGTGGAACTATGCTTTTTCTGAGGACATTCAAAATTAGTGAGGTGGAGGCAGAAGGACCCCAAGTTGGAAGGCAGTTTAGGCTACCTAGTGAGACTCCATGAAGACTGAAAGAAGAGTGGCTGTGAGAGGCTGGGAAGAGGTGGGTAACAAAACTTGAGTGTTCACACTTGGTTGAAAATTTTTAAATGCTATAGAAATGTACAAAGTAGAAGTCAAATTTGTCCTATAACTGCATATTCCAGAGATAACTACTAACAGCAGTTTGATAAACACATATTTACATGTTATGTAAATATCTTGGAGTCTAATTGCTGGGAACATATTATTAATAAAGCTACTGAGAATGGGAGAGTGTGGACATGGAAGGAATTTGGGTCTCTGATGACATCACTGAACCATTGAATTAGGCAATCCTGAAACCTCCTCTGTTATCTGACTTCTTACAGTCTAAGCTCCTTCGAACTGGATTTTGTTGCTTCTGCCTACCACATTGTAATTCATCATGTCATTCTCCTGGATAACTTAGCATTTCTGTACTAATGTAAGCATATACTTACATATGGCTTATATTAATGAAATGATACTTGGACACAATAAAAACATATGCCTAGTGTTGTCATAGCAAGCTAAATCAATAAGCATTGAAATCCCCATCATGAAGTAAGTTAAATGACCTGAATTCTTTGCAACCTGGACTAGTTCTATAAGATGGTTTACTTAAAATGCACATTGTATTAGCCTGACGCTTATGTAAATTAAGAGTCTATAATTCCTCTAGAATGGCATTAAAATGCTGGGTACATGGTTATTGTCTACACATACTATTAGTACTAAAAACATCTTGAGGCCAGAAAAATGGATCAGTTGGTGGTGTTTCCTATGCAAACTTGAGGACCTGAGTCAGATCTCCAGCATTTATAGAAAAGCCAGGCGTCATGGCATGCACCTGTAATCCCGGAGCTGGGAAGACAGAGACAGGAAGATCCCTGCAACCTGCTGGTCAGCCGGTCTAACTGAATTGGTGAGCTCCAGGTTCAGTGAGAGAACTTGTCTCAAAAAAATAAGGTGAAGAAACATCGAGAAAGGCACCTGATATTAAACTTTGACCTCCCCAATTATGCATACACACTTACACATACACCTACACATGCAGCCTTGTAAACATACACACACACACAATACATCTAATATTTATTGACCAGTATGTGCAAGTTATTTATTATGAAAGATGTAATTATCAAAAGAAGCCTATAATGTCAATGTTATCATATTCTCATCTTACAGATGATGCAATTAAGGCATAGAAAAAGTAATTTGGCCCCAAACAATTGAGCTGAGCTTTTATGTACAGTGTTATTTATTAGTGTCCTTACATTTCCACCCTTCTTCATCAGAAACCAATCTGCCTTAATTATATCTCACTCTTTTCTCCAATAAAATTGCTTTTACAACTAAACCCAGGTCCTCTGCAAGGCAGCAAGTGCTCCTAACCACTGACCCATCTCTCCAACTCCATCATCAGCCTTTTGCCGTGGTTATTGTAGAAGCGACCTCCCACTGAAAACTCTTGCATCTATTTTTGCCTTCTTCTAATCTTTCTTTGACTCTAAAGACAAGGTAATCTAATTTTTTTAATATATGTTATTTTTGAGATAGACTCTCATGTAACCCAGATTGGCATTGAATTTGCTGAGCTTGTAGCTGAGGATGACTTTGAACTTCTGATGTTTCTGCTTCCACCTCCCAAGCTTTGGCATTCCAGGCATGAATCATCATATCCAGTTTATGTGGTACTGAGGATCAAACCCAGGGCTTTGTGCATGCTAGGCAAGCACTCTATGTATTGAATTATATCTCCAGCTCATGAAGACAGGGTAATTTTTAAAGACCTTATTTTTATTTTTAATTATGTGTATATGTATATTTGTACATATAAGTGCAGTTCCCCTTTGGAGACCAGAAGAGGATGTCAGACCCCCAGAAACAGGAGTTGTACTGGGAACCAAGCATGGGTGCCGGGAACTCCAGTCCTCTTAAAGAGCAGCACATGCTCTTATCCACTGAGCTATCTCTCAGCCCCCAGGGTAATTTTGTTTTTGTTTTTGTTTTTGTTGTGAGATAGGGTTTCTCTGTAAAACCAAGTCATCCTGGAACTTGCTCTGTAGACCAGGCTGGACTTGAACTCAGAGACCCATTTGCCTCTGCCTCCTGAGTGCTGGGATTAAAGTCATGAACCCCAAAGTGATTTTTTAAAACTGAAAATTTGTTCACAGCAACAACTGCCTTTGAACTATTCAATGACTTCTCATTGATCGTAAAATAAGACACAGAATCTCTAGCATGACCTGAATGCAACAAAAACGTCCTGTATTTTTGAATTGTTGGTTCGTTCGTTTTTTGTTTTTAAGACAAAAATCTTAGAGTGTAGTTCAGTGTGGCCTCACTATAGAGCTCAGTTCTGCCCGTAAGCTCCCAATCTTCCTACTTAGGCTTCCCAAGAACTGGACTTCCAGGCACGCGCTTCCACACCTCAGTCTATAAGATCTTGTATTGGTCTAGTGCCCGGCCCAACCACATGTCTTCCCATCTTATACTTCCATCCATCCTAGCTACAATGTACTCCTTTCAAATCAGTGCATACCCTATTTTTTCCACGTTATATTTCTTTTTCCTTCCAGCTCATCAAATATGATCCTTTCTTTTTGGATTTTAAATATCATTTTATTTTTTAAATTCAAATGTAATTACATTGTTTTCCTCTTCCCCTTCCCATGCACTCCTATGCTCTCTCTCAAACTCGTGACCTCTATTTCTTTAATGATTGCTTATTTATGAATTTGTTATTTGTGCATGGGGGTACATGTATGCCATTGCACATGAATATTAAGATCAGGGGAAACTTTCAGGGGTCAGTTCTGCCCTTCCTCCATACGTGTTCTAGGAACTGAACTCAGGAAGTCAGACTGGAGGCAGGCAGCATAGGGGAGTAGAGAGGGAGTGGAGCAGGAAGGGAGGAGACTGAAGGGAGCTAGGACAGAAGAAGGAGAGGGAGGGGAGAGGAAGTGAGGGGAAGAGGAGGGGAGGAGGCATGGGAAGGGGGAGGAGGGGGAGGAGAGAGGAGGGGAGAGGACAGGAGCAAGGGAAAGGAGGTAAGGGAAGTGGGGGATGTGGAGGGAAGAAGCAGAGGGAAGAGGAGGAGATGGGGGGGGAAGGTGAGTTAGGGTCCAGGAGAAGGAAAGAAGGATCAATATAGACAGCTTCCCAGTGTTTCATGAGGCTCGTGTTACCCAGACACCCAAGCTAGTAAAACCGTCACAAGAAAACTGGAGACTAATGCTAAAAGAAGATTTATCTCAGGAATCTGAAGGAGATTCAACGTAAGAAAATCTGCATAATACATCCTATTAATAGAACAATGGGGAAGAACACACAATTATTTCCACTGATTCAGAAAAAGTACTACAACAATTCAAACAGGTAGAAACAGATGGGAACTTCCTTAGATCAGTCAATGGTGGGAGACTGAATCGCCCACCATTCCAACCGTAAGACAAAGATATGCACTTGTTGAAACTGGAGAGGTAATAATTCAAACACAGGGTGAAAGCACAGAATGCGGCTCATTGCATCCTTAAAATAGTTCACTGAATGTTGTGTGAGCAACAATTTACGTCATTTAAAAAATTTATATGATGAATCATTTATTCTTTTGACTTACTGACCTATAGGAATCTTTCCTATTTTCCTAGCTTTAATTAGCACAAAAGGAGTTATAATTTAGATTGCCTGGTAACACCATAAATAGGAAATTTTAACTACAATTCCAGAGGAACATGAGATAAAAGTTTAACTAAAAAGGGATGAAAACTACTTTTAGGAAAGCCTGAGAATGGAGTGGAAACTAGATGGCTTTACATACAAAAACATATCTTTGTGTTAAATTCATAAGGGATTTAAAAGATAATGAGGTTGCAGCTGCAGCAAAATAATTAGAACTGTGTTGGATGTGTTTGTTGTCCATTAGTAACATTTAGAGAAGCTGTTTCTCAAAGCCAGAACTTTCTAGAAATGCACATTCTCAGACCTTGTGAGTCAGAAACTCTGTAAGGTGAGCCCTAGCTGTGTTTTAACAAGCCTTCCATGTTCCACACTCAAGTCTGAAAGGCACCAATGAAGACCAGGAAGTGTGTCTTACCCAGGGATGCCACAATAAGCATTTTCTTACCAAAGCATGGCGGTTCAGAAATGGTGAGCTGTTCCTTCTCATTCTCACGGTGTCAGCTTGAAATCCCTGTGAATTATCACTAAGACAAAAGAAAAGATTTGACATATAAAATCCATTACCAGCTTTTTAAAGAAAGAGAACTTAAAGAAAGAGGAACGCTATGAATGCAAATGGTGGAGATATCTGTGCAGATGGTTTACACAGATATAGAGACAGAGACAGAGGCTTACTCATCTAAGTTTAAACAAGCTTCACTGCAAGGTAAGAAATTCTCAGCTACGCCGTTTTCCCTCTAATTGTTCTACTGAAAATAAGCATAATTTACTGTAAGCTTGGAAATACGCCATGTTTGTGTAAACTTGTACCTGATTGAATTTTATGAGCAGAACTATAATGTACAAGCACAAATTCTCAGTGTCTAAACTGTTACATAAAGAACCGCACCCAATAGCAGGACTCAAAGGAACTGAGAGCGTCTGCAGGTACGTGTTGCCCTACTCTGTTAAAATGGTTTTGAATTCATTGTGTTTTCCAAGAGATTTCACATTTAAAAAATCCAGACTCAGTATTTCCAGCTTCAGTTGAACATTTGCAAGTTTGTGCAACACTGGACCACATCCCCACACTGCAAACAAGAGCAGACAAACTCAGCAGCTAACCCCTGCACACTGAAAGTGGCATCTATGTTCCCAGCTTGACTGTTGCCTCCACAGGTGGCCTCAAACTTATTTGACCTTATCACCTAGAAGATGTCACCTTTTACTTTTTATGTTTCGTTTTATCAGAGCTCCTCAGTTGAACTCCTAAGAAGTCACATAAAGAATACAGATGGTTCCCATGTGCCATTTATCCAGGTTCCTCCACTGACTCTAAAAAATCATCTTTAGCCAGGAGCAGTAGGTGGTCCATGCCTATAATCCCAGCACTTGGGAAGTGGAGGCAGGAGAGTCAGGAATTCATTGCCAGTCTTAGCTACAGAGTTTGAGGCCAACCTAGGCTATATGAAACCTTGTCTCTCTCTCAAAAGGAAACATCTCTAACACCTTCTTCTTGCTGCTCATAGCCAATCAAGCGCCAGTCATTGAGGCTGAACCCCTCAGCTCTATTTTCTCTCCATCTCATTCTTTTTAGGAGCGTTGCCAAAAACCACTTCAAAGCATTTTTCCTCATACACAGACTGCACAATAGTCTCTTTGGCCTCCTCACCTCTGTTCTTTCCCTATTCCAAGCTAGTTAGCAGACTTGCCAGGGGCACCTTCCTAAAGAACAGCTTGCTCTCCAGCTCGCAATTTCCAGCGGCTGTTATCTACCACATTCAAGTCTTCAGTAGGAGAGTCAAAGCCCTCCACAGTCTGCCTACAGACTTTTGGATTTCAGGGACTAGGAAAATTTCAGAACAAAATCCAGACGCAAACACAGCTTCTCTGTTTTTCTTTTGTTCAGTACAGCACAGTGAAGGGAGCAGAGTTCACAGCAAACTAGTCTGTAGTTTAAAACACCAAGAGAAGAACTTACGGGCTACAGACACAGAGCAGCCTGAGCGTGGGAACTATTCCTTACTCTTATTTGATCAGCATACATTATATATACATATATTGAAATATACAGAGTCTGACAAATGTCATTATTTGTGTTCATCTGAGCTTTATAAAAATTTAAGGAAATAAGAATAGCAGCCACTTATTTGATTATTACATATCATACACACGTATTGAATGATCTTACTAAACCCCCAAAATATGTACAATTAATAGTAGTTCATTTTAAATACTATTATTGACCACCATTATTAATTTTTGTCTATTACTTTACTGTGATAGTGGGGGATGGAGCCAACACCAGGTACGTGGTAACCAAGTGCTCTACCATTGAACTATATTCTCAGCCCTCCTTTTACTCAATGAATTGCTTCAGTTGGTTTGAACTCATTTCACAGCTCAGGTGGGACTTGACCTTGAGGTTCTCCTACCTCAGTCTTCTAAGTAGCTAAGATTACACACAGGCCTTTGCCACCCGGCCCATTCAATATTTTACTTGTGAAAGGGTAATATGTTATGTAGGGGGCAAACAGCCTTAAAGTACAAACTAGTCCTGCCTAGAAAGGAACAATTGGCAACTGCATTACACATTTATGGTGACGTTTCAACTAAAAATAGAGTAGTGGGAGGAAAGGACCTTTACTTGAGATCAACAGATCAGAGCAGGCAAACATTTCAAGCCAGTCATACACACAAATTTGACCACTTAGCTTTCTGTGTATACCTATGATTGTCCATTTCCAGAATTATTCCATATACTTGAAATGTTACCCAAGCTAGTCATTCCTAAATTTTCTTTGCCTCCTTTAATTTTGGTCTGTTTCAGGTAGGCTCCTATGAAGCTGAGGCCTGTCTCCACCTCTTTGTGTAGCCAAGGTTGACTTTGAACCCCTGATTCTCGTGCATCCACCTCCTAAGTTTCCAAGTGCTAAGATTATAGTTTGCATAATACCCAGCTGTTCTTCTCTTTCCTCCTCCTCTTTCTGTACTTGTGTGCATTCTCTCTCTCTTTCTGTCTTTCTCTCTCTCTTTCTGTCTCTCTCTCTCTCTCTCTCTCTCTCTCTCTCTCTCTCTCTCTCTCCCACATACACCACATAAACACACACACACACACACACACACACACACACACACACACACACACACACACACACAGTGTGTGTTGGTTTTTAAAAACAGTCTCTCACTATGTAATCAACGCTGGCCTTGAGCTCACTGAACTCTGGAACTCCACTTCCAGAATGCTAGGATTACAGGCATAGGCCACCACACCTAGCTGTCCTCTAACTTGAAAAAAAGCAGAGGCAATGTAACTGGGCCATGCTCGTATGTCCCACATCAAATGTCAGTATGCAGCTTATCTAAGCAACAGTAGATCTGTATTAATTCTGTTCCTGAAACAATCACTTAGTAGGATGAGCACTATTCTTCTAGGTTAGTAAGAATTCAATAAACTAGGTAGTGGACAGACCTTGAAAGCACCACCCAGTAAATATTAAGGCTTTGGGGACATACAATTTCTGTTGTAACTTCTCTTCTATGCCACTGTATGGACAATTAGGAAGCAAATGGGTGTGGTTAAGTTCCAATATAACTTTTTTTCACAAAATCAAACAGCAGTCTGTATTTGGTCAGTAATCTGTCTCTTGATTTAGTAACAGTTTAAATTTAGAATGAAGCCAGAGGGCTGTAGAAGGGGAAGCCATTGGCAGGGAGTCCAAAAACTTGGTATTTAAAGGTTTTGTTTTGTTTGTTTGAGTAGGGCCTCACCATGTAGTCCTAGCTGACATCAAACTCACTATGTAGTCCAGGCTGGCCTTGAACTCAGCAATTCTCTAGCTCACTCTGCTTAGTCCTGTGATTACAGGTAGATGGCATCAGATTAAGCTGAGGTTTGTGTACATGTTTATCTGTACGTGGTGATGGGGATCGATCCCAGGGTCTCATACATGCTAGGCAAACAGTCTACCAGAGAGTTACACCCCTATCTCAATTTCTAATTTTTTAAAGAAAGGCCAGAGAAAAAGGTTTTTAAAAACCTTACTTTTAAATATAGTATTGAAAAACTACCTTAAATATAGTGAGGTGCTTACTCTTAGCGCAACTTAACATGCCATGTTTTGTTGATATTCATGGGAGACCTGCCCTTTCCTAAACAGAAACAAAGGAGGAGTGTATTGGGGGGTGGGAACCGAGGGGGTGGGGGGAAGGAATGAGAGGAGAGGGGAGAGGGGAAACTGCACTGGGATAGAAAATAAATAAATAAATTTAAAAACTGCCTTGAATGTAGTATTGAAGCTAAGTGTGATGGTGTATATGTATCTCTAATCACAACACTTAGGAGATGGAGGCAAGAGATCACCAGTTAGAACACAGCCCGTTCCATAAGACTGTCAAACGTTTGGACATCAGCCATTAAGTTAACGAACTGCAGACTGAGAGTATAAAGCACTCACGATGATCGTTCTGGCCCAGGCTTCAGGTGCCAGGATGATGAGTATGAGCCGCCACACTCAGCTTTCAAAACAGCTGACATAACACCATCTGACATAACACGGGAATCATGTCTGACAGGCCTCAGGTCAGAGACTTGCCCACGTGAGGGCTTATTTTTGTTTAGAGCACATTGAGTGAGGTAGGGTGCAGTCGGAGACTTACTCAGAAAGAAGAATTGGTCTAGAGTAGAGCTGCACTGAGCCTTAGTCAATTCATTTCCCCTCTTGTGTTTCCAGTTCATATGCACCATACTCCCTTACTCAGGCCTCAATTTCCTAGTGTCCTACTACTCTCCAAACTACATGTAGCAGTGAACTGTTCTATCTGCAGCTTGCTAAACACTGCCACATGTTTTTCAACTGATTTTCTAATTTTGCATTGAATTCCATGTATAGAGAGGTCTGCTTTCTTGCAGCATTACTTACAGAAGTGAATTTCCTAAATGTGAACTCTTCAAAACAGTATTACTGTTAAGTTCCTGGGCTGAGGTAGAGTTCAGTGGTATTGAGCTTCCCTAGTATGTTCAAGGCTCTAGGTCCAATTCCTGGGACTCTCAAAACAAAAACAAACAAATCCAATATCCTCTTATGCTTTATGTACATCATGTGTTAGTAAAAGTACCAATGTCAAAAGCTTTGATGAGGCGAAAGGGTAAGATCCAGGTTCAGTGAGATGCCCTGTTTCAGAGGTGGAGAGAATACAGCAAGATGTCCAACACTGACACACAGAGAGAATGATAGATACAGATATGTTATTCCTCCAGAGTCTCCTTTGTTGTTCACAGGACTGAAGAGTTTTATTTAATATTAATATGCAATTAGAGATAAACTCCATAGCTCAAGCTCTTAATGCATAAAGCAATATTTGTACAGAAAATTAAGAGTTAATAGTAAATTATCAGGTATGCATGAAATATACAAAGCTTATTTAAGCTAGTCCAGTTGGCTGGCTAGAAAGTTCCTGGGATCTACTTGTCTATGGACCCCAAGTGCTAGTGTTACAGGTCTTTACTGCCATGCCTGGCTTTTATTGTGGATTCTAGAGATCTGAACTCAGATCTTCATGCTAGTGTATCAAGCAATTTGCCCACTGAACTATCTTTCCAGCCCCTACAGCAAATTGTGATGCCACTGTGGTAGTTTAAATAATAATGGCCCCACAGGCTCATATGTTTGAACACTTGGTATCCAGTTGTTGGAATTGTTTGGGGAGGATTAAGAGGTGTGGCTTTGTTGAAGGAGGTGTGTTACTGGGGGGCAGTTTTGAAGTTTTAAGACTGAAGTCGTTCCCAGTGTGTCTCTTTCATTCTGCTTTGTGGTTGTGTCTCAAGATGTGAGCTCTCAGCTCTGCTCCACTGCCATGCTTGCCTGCCTGCTGCCATGATTCCGGACTCCTACCCCCTGAAACCATCAGCTCCAAATGAAATGTTTTTTAAATTGCCTTGGTCATGGTGCCTTTTCAAAGCAATAGGAAATAACTAAGACAACCACCTATGCATTAATTCTCTACTCATATATCATATGTATGCTTGTGCTTTACACAAAAAAGAGTAACATACACTTCTGAACCAGTTATTTCCTCTTTTTGTGGCTGGGGATATTACCCACTGAGAGCGCATAAAAAAGAGAGCAACTTATTGCAGTACCTAAAATTGTTGTTGTTTTTGAACTCTATATTTATAGTTATTCATAGTTATATATGTGTGTATTTGCTTGGCAGCCATTTCCATCTTCAGTGTGCAGGAGGTGAAAGTCAAACAAAGGTGACCAGTGCGCTGAGAAAGTGAAGAAACAATCATTATAACAAATCTGGAGGCACGGGCAGGGGGATGTTCAACGTCTTCAAACAGTGGCTAAGAGATAAAGTGAAATCACAAAAATGTCATGCTCCACACCAACTGGTGGCTGTAGCTGGGTCCACGTAGACCTGTCAGAAGACAGTGGTCGGGGTCAGATATGTGTTAACCTGAGATGGGATAGGGTGGGTGAATGCCGTCCCTCACTTTGGCCCATCCATTCCCTCTTCTCCACTAGGCTGAGGTGGACTCTTTAGACACCAAAAATATGGAAGATGCCTGCAAGACCTTGATAAGTAAAAGCAAGGAAATTCTACCAGATGTCGTTTTTTGTCCAACACCCCCCTTTGACCCTCAGGTACGTCCACCCTGCTCACCCAAATCCATTGATCAAAGGGATGCTGCTGGATCTTCTAAGGAAGCTGGCATCTACAGTGGTGGAAGCTGCTGGCAGGCCTAACTCCATTTCCCTTTTCTCCTTGGCCAGTTTGGTGTTGAGGACAAAGCTGCTACTCAGTTGGAAATTTTGAAGGGTATCTGGCTCTTGTTGATTTGAGGACATGCTGCTGTCTTGATGCAGAGAATCTGTAAGGAGAGATGCAAAGGGGGAAAGGGGAGAGAGGAGTGGCGGAAGCCCTTAGATAAGTCGAGTCACTCACCTTTTAAGCCCTAGTGTCCCTAACACCTGTGACCATAAACCTGGGCAGGACGGGCCTGAAACCTCCTAGTCCTCACCTGGACCCCTAATTGCCGAAAAGATCGAAATCTCTAATACAAATGACTAGGTGAATTCTCCTCCCTTATGTTTTCTATTCCATGGCAACAAGTAACTGTCAAAACAAAAACTATAGATTAACTGTCCTGAGGAAACAAGGGCAGTTACACCTCTGCCAGCTTCTTTTGTCCAGTCAGACAACGCACAGTTAACTGCACAAGCAATTAGCATCCTTTATGGCTGCAGACTCAGGAGCAGCAGCGTAGCATGTGTGCAGGCTAGGAAGGGCCTTTCCATGACTCCTTTCCCTGTGCTCTTCCTAGTGCCGTGCTAAAGGTCTGCTTTGTATCTGCTCCTCTGCTGACTGTAGCATTCAGGAAAAAGCTGAGAGGAGTCAGTTATATGGGAATACTTTGCTTTCTACCCTTTATTTCAGTTTTCCCAGGACTGGTCTGTCATCTTTTATGACTGAAACCAACAAGCTTGCTTAATGGCATGTGTGTTTCCTGTACAGCAGACCAGCTACACCTTTGTAATTGAAAAACACAACTAAAATCTGAAAGGGACAAAGAAGAGCAAAACACCGTGTTTATGGTTTTGGCTTTGATAAATCACTTTCCCAACTGAACCAAATGTGCAGATAAATCTTCATTTTCAACTTTTTTTACAATAATCTGATATGAATATTCACAGTATATTAAATTTGGCTATTAGTCCAAGTCCTCAGCTGATGTACAGACATAACAGCGAAGCTTATTTTTTTTAAACACATGTCTCAAAATACATCCAAATCAATGTTTCCACTTTTGATAGTATTGGTGTGCTGTACTCATTTTAACATTGCTTCTACTTTATCTCTGCTTCTGCAACTCACAACACTTAACTTCTTCTCATTTAGAAATTTTCAGCACCATTTAATGAGTCCCACTCAGTGCTAAAATCCTAACTTCATGCTAATAATATTGGCGGTTCTGTTTGTTTGGTTGGTTTTGTTTTTGTTTTTTTCTGAGACAAGGTCTCACATTGTAGCCCAAGCTTACCTGGCACTCACTCTGTAGCACAGGCTGGCCTTGAACTTGTAGCAGTCCTTCTACCTTAGCCTCTTGTATGTTTACCTTACTCAGTTTTGTGGTTTTTTTGTGTGTGGAGGGGGAGAGAGTACTGGGGATTGAACCTAGAGCATGATGCATGCTAGGGGAAATGCCTCACTGCTGAGCTATAATTCCAGCATCTTAGTAATACTGTAAAGCCACACATTTTAGGAAACTATACATATATATATATATAAAATTTGGCAGAAAAAAGTAAATGACCCTAGTGAAATGGGATTTTTTTAATTAAAATAGCCATAATATTCAAATATCACTTTGGAGTTTACAAAATGTTTTCACATGTCTCAATTGGTTCAGTCATCAGCCTTGTTCAGCTAATCAGTGATGAGCTTAAAGTAATGGAATTGTCTTGAGGTAGTATGTGAAAAGTTATGACATGTAAGATCATAATCACTTATTTTTCATTCATTCTGGGAATAGAAGAAGGAAAACTTGATTATGCTCAGCAGAATTAAATTATCTAAATCCCAGACATGAGGATGATTTGGAGTCTCCATTCCTGATGTAAGACAGGTTAATAATAGCTACCATTTATTGGGCACTTATGTGCCTGGTACTATCCTAATCACTTTAAATATGTGATCACATTTAAAGCTTACAATAATTCTGTGAGGTAGGTACCATCACAATACCCAGATTTCAAAGGAGGGAGCCAAAGCCCAGAGGGCTTATTCAAATTCCAACTACTAAGTGGCAAAGACAAGGTTCCTCTGCCTTTCTAGTTAGGTAAAAACATAGAAGAGGCACCTCTGAATGTTTCTCTGAACACTATTTCTATACTAATAAACACTCAATACATATTTATTAAATTGCTATATAAATACATGCAAATTTAAATAACCTATATGTGGTAGTTTAAATGTTGTTGGTCCCCACAAGCTCATAGGACTGTTGGAAGGCTGACTTTGCAGGAGTAGGTATGGCCTTGTTGGAGAAAGTATGTCACGGTGGGGGTGGGCTCTGAGGTCTCAGATATGCCCAAGCCATGCCCAGTGCCTCAGTCCACTTCCTATTGCCTTCTGATCAAGATATAGCCAGCATCATGTCTGCCTGCATGCTGCCATGCTCCCTACCATAATAATGGACTGAACCTCTAAAACTATAAATGAGCCCCCCATCCCACAATTAAATGTTTTCCCTATGAGTGGCTGTGGTCATGGTGTCTCTTCACAGCAATAGAAACACTATCTAAGATACTATATTTCATAGTTTTATTGTAAAATATATACATTACTACTACTACTTTACAATGCATATAGATCCCCAAAGGTTAATGATATATAACTTGGTACCAGCAGAATCCAGTTTACCACCCATGATCTGAAAGGCATTGTTAAAGTTCCCTGGGTGTTTGGTAAGTTTGTAAAATGTGGTTGTTAAAGCCGAGGAATATGGAATGCATGAAAAGGGCAGTGCTTAAAGACAGAAGAAAGGACTGTGTGACAAAAAATGTGGAGTGTACAAGTAAACAAAAAGCTCTTGCTGCTATCTTAATTTTCACGTAGTACATTAATACTCTTGGGGATAATATGTTTAATGACTGTATTTTGAATAAATAGATGATGTTTCATATATCTAAGCATTTCAGATAGTTTTAAAAAATCTAAATGCAATAAGAATATGCAATCTAAATGCAATAACTAAGAAACAAGAACAGTGTAATGACAAGGAAAGACAATCAGGGACTGTTTCTAGAAAAAGGGTGGCACACATTGCTTCTGAATTTCTACAAGAACTTGATGTTCAGATCCTATTGATGAAGACACCACACCCTTTGGTCACAGTGCATGGAGGAATCAAGCTGATATTGCCTGGGAAGCTTCCTTCCCACTGGGTACCCTTCATAGGACTGGAAAGTGCTATATATGCTGCTGGGGTGGGGGGAGTCAAAGCACTCTTACCTAGCTGTGAATGCTGTGACTCACAGTAATGCTTAGCCTGTCAAGATATGCCCACGGGTACAGTAGTGGCATGAATGCTATGGGGGTAACCAGCCACTTTCTAATTGCATTTAAGGCCCATTCCACAAGAGGAAGTGCATGCCTAGTATTGTAATTCTGACTGAGAACCTATGGCTGGGGAGCTCAGAGGCCCCAGGGGTGATCTTACTATTATTTTACTAAATGAACATAGTATCAAACTGCCCTCTAAATACACATTTTAATGTCTATTTAGTGCATCTCAGTCCTCATAACAGAAGTTTCTTTGTAGAGCAAACAATGGTTAATGAAGAAACTTGCAATTTGTCGAAGTGCAAAGATTTAAGTGTTTTTGGAACACTCAGCCATAAATGAGACATCTATATCACACCCTTCCACCCAAGTCTCAGGGAACATTGTGAAAGAGGTGTAGGGAAGGTTTTAAGAGCCAGATTTGGGCAGGGCTTGAGTGACATGTCACTCCCAGACATGACAGGATTGTTGCATTCATGACCTCACAGCAGCTATGGTTGCCTGTAAGGATCAAGCCAGTCAACATTCCAGCATGGAGTAAGGAGGGTTTCACAAACTCCCACCCCTTACTGAAGAGCTACTGACAATTGATGGCTGCTGACTGAGGGAGAGTCCATTCTCTTTAGCAGTGTGCTCCCTGGTAAACTGACCATACTTTAGTGGTTGGCCTCACACCCATATGAATAGGGGCAGTACAAACTGGACTCAGTGGGTTATAAGAAAGAAGAAGCTGTGAAGCTAGGAGGAGTTGAAGGCGGTAGGGTAGACTTGGGAAGAGTTAAGAGGAAAAGTAGGGTCTGAGTATAACCAAAATACATTGTACATATGTATGAAGTTCTCAAATAATTAATACAAACATTATACTTACACATTATTGTTAAAATAAACAAAGAAAATGGTGGCACAGAAATATGCAGTGACTAACTATATGAGATAGCAATGATTCTATTACTCAAAGGGAGGACTTCTCTTTCAAAAGAGAAGATTTACATGTCTTCTCTTTTGAAAGAATGAAAACCTTTAAAGACATAGGACTCAGTACAGGTGAGAATATCAAAAGGATCAAGTACTACAAAGCCAGAGGAATTCTGTACACTACAGTGGCAAACCTGACATTTAAAGAGATTACTCTTACTTCTTTATATCTATACCTACACATTAGTATACTCACCATCAGTGTTTCCTCTTCCACAGTAGGCCATGATCTCAGATCAATGGTATGCTTGAACCTTTAGCTTAAAACTTATACTATCTCTTGCTCTGTATGTCCCAGTCTGCTGCCGACCTGCCAGTAGTCTCTTCTGAAAAAGGTGGCCCACAGACGTGTCACAATCAGCTCCTTATTGGGCCGGTCGTCACAGCAACCTTAAAGTTACATTTCAACCTTCAGTTCCCACAAGAGCAAGTAAAAAAAAAAGTTATATCCCTGCCTATAAACCACAAATAACCCAAAAATCTCAAAAAGAGTCACATGAAAGGCAACAAAAGCTAGGTAGACAACAACGATATGAATAAAACTGGAGATGGGGGCTGTAGAGGAGTTAAAAGTGTGTACTGCTCATAAGTTCAGTTCCTGACACTCAGCTCACAACTATCTGTAACTCCAGCCCTGATGGAACAGATATCTCTGGCCTACTTAGGTATATGAACACACACACACACACACACACACACACACACACACACACACACACACACACACAAATAAATAAATAAATAAATAAATAAATAAATAAATAAATAAATAAAATCTCAAACATTACAAGCTATTGCCATTGCTCCT